ACCGAGCGTTCTTGTTGGCGGTTAGCCTGCGGTTGATAACTTAAAGTCGCTCGTGATCGTGACTGCATCATATCGGCGAAGGCTAGAAATCCCCGCTCATAAACCTAGGCTCATGGTCATGCCGAATCAACGATGGTCCTCCAAACCGTCGGTACACACACTCTTCGAACGCTCGCGCTACGCTGAGTGCAGATGTGTCGGACATAGCCTGAGCAATGATGAATCCAGTGAACAAATATTGGAAAAGCAACAGGGCAGTGTTGCACCTGCGTGTCTTTGGTAGACGTATCACGAAATCCATAGAGACAATCTGGCACGGTCGTTCGGCCTGTACATTGCCTGCTGAGTATCCTCGCAACTGTGTACGACTCTTACTTGAGCTACAATCCAGACATGACTTCACATGTTTCTCCACGTCAGCATACAACCCAATCCAGTAATAGTCAGACTTGACACGGTCGAAGGTCCTGACGACGTCTTGGTAGCCACCTTCCAACAAATCCTGGCAGTTCTGTAAGACTTCTTGAATCATCGTGGTAGGTACCACTAGACGCAGCTTGTTCTCCTCTTGTCAACCGTGGTCGTACCGTCGGTTCAGACCCAAGTAGTGAAGCACACCATCTTCTGACAGGACAAGTCGGTCTGCATATTTCCATGCGTCGCGAGCTTTCTTGTGGCGCAGCTGTTCTGCCTCTCCTCGAAGTACATTTTTCAGGTTTGCCTACTTCTGTTCGTCGTCATACGCCTTCCAATTCGTCGACGTCGCTCCCGTGTATCTACTGGGTTGACATCATCTGCATCAGGTGCTGATGGCTGCATCGCGTTGGAGGTTGGTCCTGTGACATTCCATCAGGAGAGCGCTCGTTGGCCACTCCAGCACGTCCCTTACTCTGTTCTTGACCGTTAGGTGCTTGCACCGAATGTTCATCGGCGAATCGGACATGTTTAGCTTGAGATTGTCGTCTGGTCATTACTGCAATAGTTCCAGTGGTATTCAATGTGCTCGAATTGTCGTCCCTCACGAATTTTTCGAAAGTCTTGCGTGGAGAACGGGTGTCGCCGGTTAGCACATGCACACAGCGCTCTTCCTGACGTGGTCCAACTTCTGCTGAGTCTTCATTTGGTTCATATATTACTTCTTGGATGCGGTTCAACGTTGCCAACTCCAATTTTCGCGTTTCAGCTAATATGACTCGACTGACTTTCGACTCCACAGCCTCTGTGGCTAGCGTATCTGCGACAGCGTTGTATTCTGACACGACGTGTTGGTATTTGACTGATCGTAGCTTCACCGTGCGTTCTTTGCGAGTATTCAGCAATGCCATCAAGGACTCCTTCCGACATGCTATCAACCCTAGTGATTGCTGGATCGCGAGCCTCGAGTCGCCTAAGACGATCAGTTCCTCGGCACCATGTGCTAAGGCTGCTTTGACACCATTGTTCATTCCAGTGTTCTCAGCTAGGCTTACTGTAGTAGTCGGGGGGGGGGGGGGGTAAGCGTTCGCAGCGATCACTATTTTCCACTCGGGGAGACTCCATAATATCCACGAACACCTGCCATAACCACCATATTTCTCGGTAGTCACGTGGTAGCTTCGCGTAAAGCGAGGATGGGTTCATGGGAATCGTCGGTGAGCCTTTGCTTGGAGGGGCTAACGGCGCCAGCGTTTCTTCCCAATCCACGAAGATTGTGCTAGTGGATTGAAGTAACTGAGCGAAGGCCACATCCTGTTCTTTGACTCGTTCTACGATCAGATGCCACGGTAACAACAGTACCGCAAACTGTACGGCACGACCGAATAATGACTTCGCTGCGTTTAGCACGTCTTTAAGAGCAAAAGGGGTGATAGTACCTCCTTCTCCACTGGATGGTAGTTCATCTCAGAGTCCTTGAACACCCGACCGAGGAACCGTACGGGGTGTAACTTGCCTTCATGTTCTTGTATGAGTGTTGTACTCAACGCCAATTCATTAGCAAAAAGCATCACATGAACGTCCTTTGCTCGGTCGAAGTGCTTCAAGATTGGAGCCTCGCCCACCTTCGCTTGTAGTGTCGTAAATGCTCGGCGAGCTACCGAAAGATCGCCATTCGGCCAAAAGTCTTCCTACTTCAGCTGGTACAATGCTGTACCATATACCGCGAAGTCTTGGATGAATCGGCTATAGTAGTTCAGTGCCCCAAGGAATGATTGCATCCCTCTCTTGGTCGTTGGGAGCGACAGCTCGGTGATGGCTGCAAGCTTTTTCGGGTCGGCTCTTATTCCTTCTAAGGAGATCACATGAGACAGGAAGTCTACCTTGTTTGGCAGAAGATGCGGTTGGTGAAGCTGACACTTATCCGGCATTCGGCAAATCGACCTAGTAGTCGGCCTAGTGTCGCTAAACAGCCATCAAAATCCTCGCCACCGAAGCAGATGTCGTCAATAAAAAAACAACCGGCGACCAAATACTGGCACCAACGTTGACTCATCAGGTTCTCCATTCTGAAACTTGGCAGCGATAGGATCGGTGACCAGTTGTATTAATGGGTCAGTGTCTACCGAAGCTTCCCGATCTGCCTCGAACTTAGTTTGAAACGAACCATTGGTGCTGGTCGCTTGACGCTCTTTGGCCTTTCTTTTAGCTGCACTCATCAGCTCCGAGTATTTACGCCATCCCCCCTTTAGGCTGAGCGAACTCCCATAACGCATTGTCGATTATTCGTGGTATATTATAGGGGCGTTCTTCAGGCTGAAGGGCATCCGCGCCATTCAAACGGTCCTAGTGCACAAATGAATGCAGACACTTTTCGCGCTCGTAGGGTCATCATGATGGTCCAGAAGCCGCTGGTGGCATCCAACGAGCAGAACCATAGGTAGCTCTCGAGATCTGTCAACAGGTCGTCCACTAAAGCATCACATATACCATGATTGCGGTGATGGCATTTACCATCGTGTAATCGATGCTGAGTCGTATATCCAGACCGTTCTTTTTCACCACAATCACGATCGACGACGTCCATGGGCTGTCCGAGGAAACAATGAGCCCAGCTCTAAGCAAGGTTCTTAACAATTCGTACAGCTTGCCGAGGTAGCGGAGTGGTACACGTCGAGCACGCTGTTTAATTGGGGCATGCCCTTGTGTGTCGATGTCGCACATCACACCGTACGCTGGCGGCGGTAACGCGTTGCCACTGGCAATGAGGATCCGTTCATTCTTCTTCAGCGTAGCGACCAGTCGTTCTTGCTGATCTTTCGCCAAGCACGAGCTCATGATATTCGGTGCTCCGTGGTCGATGGTCGTGTTGGAATCCTCCGTGAAGTCGGGAAGTAACGCTAGCTTCTTTGCGTAGTCTTCCAGGCCGATCTTGTTTACTGGGTGTTCTGAAAGGTCCACCCCTGGATCGCCAGCAATCTCTTTTTCTTCGGTCGTCAACACTCGAGCTACCAACATGTAATTCTTGTCCAGAGTAGCCACCACTTCATCTGCCGACTTGGCCTCGACTTCAGACTCCACACGAACGCTCCCCCTTGTGTGAATTTTCTTTAGCAAAGCGTGTACTTCCTCTCGACCGGCGATGGTGCCTTCTCTCTCACTAGTCGCAATGTAAGAGGCTGATGAGTCGCCTCTTCGATACTCGGCACCCGAGACTATCTTGGTCTCTCCAGTCATTGTACTGGATGCGTCATCTCCAGCACCAGGCACCGGCTGGGCCCTCGTTGCTGTGTTCATCACCATTGTTATTCTTGTGGGCGTTCAACCGACTCTCCGCTGGCATCGCTGTCGTCACCACCGCTTCCTGAACCACCGTCTGACGAGTCTCCGGAAAACCGGATCGCGAGCGCGTCCTTGTTCGTCACCCTAGAGTCTAGGCGACATCCATCTCGCTCTCGTTGCTCCATAATCTACTCCAATGCTCTGCACACGTTAGACGTTCTGCTGATACGTCTAACGCGTCCTCAGACAACCTTTTCATGACTTCTGTCGGATATGCTCGCCACTCAACCGATGGAGGTTGGGTTACCAGCCATTGTTCATAGAATTTGCGCTCCCGTCTGAACAGCTGTCGGTCGCGATAATTCTCTAGGCGAGCACTTGCCAGCCCTTGTACTTCTTGGAGTCCAAACGTACGCAGCCTTTGCCACGCGGCAGGTCTCCGATACGAACCAGCATGGGTAGTCTATCGAATGCAATAACGTACGCTGTCCGTTCCAAGATGTTCGTCAATCTGATGCGCACAGGCTGGCAATGGCAAAACCTCGCCACTAACAGGATAACCTTCTCTGTGCGTTGAACCCACAGTACGTGCTGTTCCAGTCTCACCGCTCGTTTCGCTAGTCGATACTCGCGAGACTCGTGACCAGGTATATCTAACGCTTTGGACGGTCCAGCATTGGCATGAGCGCTGTATTCCATACTGACCATCATGTTCTTCGTCTTGATCAGCGGGATGCCACTTCATTTGGAAGTTGCGCAGCACCATGGAACAGATCCAGCCGAATTCTGGCCGGGATCATGAAGTCCGTTCCCAGCACCACATCAACACCCGCGCTATGTGCCTCCGAGATCTAGAATATCACGACGTCGCAATTTCTGTGCAAACGTGTCGGTGATGACACTCCTGTGTCGAGCAGGATCCTTGTACGATAGTCGTTCACGGCTCCCTGCACCAGACCTCTCATTCTTATCCGTCGGTCAAACTTCTTGGCCGACCACCACCCCTGTCTCTCACCA